CTAGCAGTCTGAGTAAAATATGCATTACCCCCACTGCTTAGAATAGCCAAGTGAAAGAGAAATTCAGATGTTAAGATCTTTTGATCTGAAGCAAAATGCCAATTCACATGCTTTCAAAGAAAAAAAAAAAGGTTCTTTCCCAAGAAAGAGTTACAAAAATGGAGGAAAGTAAGAGGTGATAAAGTACTCTACAGAACAACAAATTTTCAACATAATCTGCTTTAAAGCAAAAGCAAACATGATTTAGTCGACCCTACCACTAAAATCTGTAATGCAATGCAGGAAATAAGCAAATAAAGAAGCAGATGCCACGTTTTTTATCATAACTCCAAGTACCAATAGTAAAATGATAGACTGAAAATAAAGCTAAATGGTTTCAAACTGAGCAAGAAGCTTGCAAGTAAATTGATAAAAAAAAAATAAGGCAATCAGATTTTAGGAATATTAGCTCCATAAAGAATATTCTTAAGGCTCAAATGTCTACCTTTGGCCTTCAACATTTCATGTTTTTCACTCTGAAATCTTTTTCACTTTTTCAGACAGCATGCACCATAAAGACAACTTGAGAATTCCATGAATTTACATGCACCCTTCTGTCAATACCGAAGCTCTATTTGTAGATAATGTGTACATGCTTCTGCAACAAAAAAGACTTTAAGTATGTTCTATGATTCAAGTTAAAAGCCTGGAGTTATTTGCTCACCTTCCAAATATTCTAAAACTTTTCTTTTATACCTGAAAATCTGTTGCATCCTTCTGTCACCTTCCTACAAGTCACTTTGGTATTTATGCACTAGAGACTTGTAGCTACATGCAGGTATCATGAAATTTGTCAGAGGTCAAGTAAATCCCACTTGAAGTCAAAACCCATGCTCTCTAAGAAGCAATCCAGCTGAATATTTGCCCCAATTTCTTCTGTCCATTCAGATGACTTGAGAGCTACACATACCTCCTCCCAAACCCTTACTCTATGTTATCAAACACTTTAGGGCAACAGGTCTTCGTGGGTGCATTTCAGTGCCACACAGGACAACTGCATGAAAGGAATCACCATTCATGAACACTGAAGCTTGATCATTGGAATAAAGGCAAAGAAAATGGTTCTTTTGTTTGCCTCCTGTCACTGACAGGTTAAAATATAAAAGGAAAGAGTCAAGCGCAGGTTTTTAGGGCTGCATAAAGAACCCATTCATCAGGTTATAAGAAGTCACATGTATTTGATTGTGTCAGCTTAACAAAGCCACAGTAAGAGAGATTTCTTTAGGAAATATCACTGCTAGAATTACAAAGGCAGTTGAGACATAGAAACGCTAGGAGGGGAGAAAAGATTATGTCCCAAAGGCTAGACAATCCAGCGTGTGACAGGAGTGAAGCACCTGCTGAAAAATGCCTTATCAGCACATATGTGTATGTGAGAAAGGAAACTAGTTTAAACTGCTGAAAGAGAAGACTTCTGCAGCTTGCCTGATCCTTTTCACCCCACCAAATCCTTAACATCCAGATAACTCGTCACTATTTCTCAAAGTCACAGAAGGTACACCACTCACCTGCCATTACACTACCTGCACGTTTCAACAAGATAACAAGATGTATATCTATTCTTTGGAACAGATACAGGAAGAAGGGGATAATCTATGAACATATATGCACTCTAGGAGAGAACAGAGTTACGGGATAAAATACAGACTAAGAGGTTCAGGTGGACAGGATATCGGTTTTATATCATCCATCTTCTTTTAAGCATCATTATCAAACTAGGAGATTAACAGCACTGACACAAGGATTCAGTTGTTTTGTTACTATTTTGGATAAGGATGCTTGCTACAGCTAGTAAGTCTATGCTACATGTATTCAGTGAATGCCACAACTTACAGGAAGTACGATCTTTAATGCAATTTTTAAGTTCACAGCTATGCAACCACCCAGGTAGGTTACTAGTACCAGGGATAAAGGCCTCAGGAAAAAAAAAAAAAAGACTAAATTTAATTTCTTAATACCACCTCAATTTTTTTTTTTTTCCATGAAGATGCTTTATATCTAAAGAGGGCCAATATTTTGGCCCATCAAAATTAGAAATAGATAGCATATAATGCAAGCTGTGGGGGAGATGAAAATGAAAGATAATTCCAAACAATACAATGCTATACTTCCACACACCTCCTTAGAAAAGATGACTAAAATAATTCATCAAATGCAACTACTATCTCTTAAAAGCTCAGACTGCTTCCTCCTACAAGTGGAGCAGAAAGTGGATATATGAGTAGGAAGAGGGAAAGGAATCTAGTATTGGAGTTTGGGTCAGATTTTATATAAATAAAGGAGATGCAATGATATAAACAGATCAATAGGAGGCAACAGGAAAAGTAAACAATGCAATGTTATCACAGGATAAAAATACAAAAATTTTTTAGACTCATACCTTGAATCTTAGGGCCAGTAAATTCTGGGGAAGTATTATATCTATTATCTAATATATCTATATTATTACATTCATGAAACTCAGTATGATTAGCTTGTCATAAGTAGAAGCATATTAAACGACCATGGCTGTTCTACCATCAAGACACTATGTAGCTCTCATCCACTTTCATTTTCCAACACAGGAATTCCTTAATTGCTACTGTTGGCTTCAACGTGGTTGCATTTCGTGCACCATGTGAGTCCTCTTATAAGGCTACATGTAGCTTGTGTGTCCAAGTACTACTGTAATCTACAGAAGAACAATAACCTGATATTACTCTGACCTAAACAACAGCCTCTTCTTCAAAACCAGAGGCAAATCATGCTTTTGCACTAATAAGTCATCTCCGAGGCAGATGCACACAGCCAGAATGTACAGTAGAGCAGAAAGTGAATCCTAGCTGGCATTTGAGTAACAGCTGTGCTGAGGCTTATACAAAACAGAGAATGATATATAGTGTAATGTTTTTTCCAGATTATTTAGAACACTGCAGTATGTCACATAATAAAGGCCATTTGGTAAGCTAATATTGCTACTTTTGACATCAGAATGGTTTTGGGATGCTTTATCTGAAGCATCAAGTATTCAACCTTTTAAGAAGAAAAAAATTAAGGATATCACAGTATTAAAAACAAGACATCACAGAGGACAGGAATACAAGTTTAGGGTGAAAAATGTCAAATGAGCAGGAGGCCATATACAGCACAGAAAGTGATTCAGTTCAAGATAAAACAGCAAGCCCCAAATGGCCAAAACAGATTTCTGTGACAGTATTTTAAGAAACTGGGAAAGAGGGAAGACATTAAATACAAGAAAGCTAAATATTTCTAGAGAGCCAAAACACATACTTTTGTTATAAGGATGAAAGCAACAAAAAAAAAAAAAAAAAAAAAGATGAGCACATGCTAAGAATGTCTGAAAAAGCAAAAAACAAAATGAGAGCACTTTAACCATTTTATTTCCAAAATTCTAAAATTAAACACTGACTCATCCAAATAATCTTTATTTAGCTAAGCAAATGTACAGAAAGAATTAAGCCATAATCAGTTATGGGCTTTTACTTTGGGCTTTTCCAACTTCAGGTAACAGGTAACTCAGATTATTTGGCCAGGAAAGTCAGCAACAAGAAAGAAAACAGCCTTCAAAAACAAGCGATCCCAAACCTGCTGTCAGATAAACATATGTATGTTCAAATTATCTGCTAGCACAACTCAACTTTTCCTTTTTCTACCTGTAGCACACTCAGCTGTCAGCTAACACTTCGCACCTTATACATATGCTTTATGACCTTCCATACAATGCAGAGAAAAAGACTCTCAGAATCATGGTAACAGGAATTCCCAGAGTGTCTTATAGAATTTAGCAGCGTAAAACCTACAGTGCATTGGTTTGGCTTATTAGCTACGAGTATCTGCTAGTACACCTGAAACTGAATTCAATAAGGGCTCAAACTACTCAAGTTAAGAGAGCCTGATGCAAGTTCTCATAGCAGGTGAACCATGACAGAGGTCCATGCACACACCCAAAATCTGTGACAAATGCAATTACAGCAACAGCCCAACTCTTCTGCATCGAAGGCTACGTTAAGTAGAATCAGCATGTTTTTGCTGCTGGCTAAAACCACGCAGTTGCTGTAGCTGAGCTGATACAGTAAACTCATTAAGCCATGATAAATTTAATAGTGAGCCTAAGCTGAATGCCTCTTCCAGTTAACTGTGCTGATATCCATCTGTATGTATCCTGGGAGAAGCATTAATTGCAGTTCTGAAGCTCTCTAACCAGAAGGTACTTCTGTCCAATGCTTGGAGACATTACCTGCATACAACACTTAATTAAGCTGTGGAACGCCTTTCCGCAGGATGTTGTGGCTGCTCAAATTTACAAAGGCTCACGCACCAAAAATTCAAAAACGTTGCCGCTGGCTCAGGAAATCTGAGAGCCACCAATTACTAAAGGCTGGGAAAGTGTCCTAAGGAAGTAACACAACATGCTTCCTCAGCCTTGCACCCTGCCTTGTGAGTCTGTTACTGGCTATTGTCCGAGATAGGATATTGCACGTTGTGGATGTTTAGTCTAACCCAGTACTGTCATTCTTCCAACAAGAATCTTTGCAAACAGATTTGTCTGTCCTAATCTCTAAACCAACAGCAATTAGCCAAGGTTCAGATTCCATTCAGCCAGAGACAGGGTATCTTCTCCTTTCACCTACATTAACTGAAAGTTACAGAACAAAAATCTTTTTACATGAGCAGTGTCTCAGCACAAACCAGTACAAGTCTCATTTCTTTGAGGGAATACAAAAAAAAAATCTAAAGCAGGTAAACTTACACTTATGCCTTGTCTTGTCACCCAAGTTCCCATACATTCAACTGAATATTTCTGGCATCTTCCTTATTTTATCACAATTATTTAGCAGTCATAAAGAGATTGTGGGCTTATGTTCCAGAAGTGTGAACTTCTGGAACTTATTTCAAGCCCTGAGCACTTACGTCAGAACTCCATTTTCCTAGAAAACTTTATATATTATCATATAACTTACACTTTCCTGGTCAGAAGACTGAGGTGGCTCCACTAGAAGAAGCTTCTGCTCAGAGCTGTCCTCTTCAAAGGCTGCCTGTGTTGTTGCAGTGTCAGACATGTGTCCTTTTCTGAGCCGTAGACCTGGCTCTGGAGAACCAGCATTATCGAGTTCCGTTAGTTCATTCATGAGATGCTGGGAGCCTTCTCAAATTTTCTTCTTCCTCTTGGTTTGGTTTAGTCGATTACGTGTTTGCTCTGAAAAACAAACAGTTTGTATAATAAAACTGAAGTTAAAAAGAAGTGTGGAAGAATTGACTGGAAGAAGAGCATGCTTAGAAGCTAAGAAACAGCTACAACAACTGCTTTTATATGTGCCTGAACTCCCACAGGATCAATTATATAGACTTCTACATTGTTGAGCAACGAATTCCCATCTTGTGACCACTAATACTTTCATACCCTAACACAAGTTAAAGACAACTTTGAAAGATGACAGAAAACGAGCTCCATAATAATGTATAAAAACATAACTGTTACTATTTTTATTTTTAAGTTGCAAACACTGGGCTGTTAATATTATTTACAAATAAACTACTAATCACAGACACTCAATAACTATCAGCTTTTTGTGGGTATGAAGCTCATTTCAAATCATCTGGGCTAGGTTTCACCAAAACTAGGACAATGGTACAGTTGTTTGGGTAGCAGTAAGCAAGCAGAGTTCAAGCAGCAACCGACTTTAGAGAGACAGCAAGGCAGGCAGTAGTACACACAGTGATTATGTTTCCCTTGCTTAAATTAACATGTTCACAATATTACTGCTGGCAATGGGTCTGTACCTTTACTTGTATAAGGATTTAGACCAGACAGATTTAAATACTGCTCATCCCATCCCAGCAACCATAAATAGATAACTCCCCCACAAAAGCCACAACTCGAGGTTTGTACTCAGAAAAGTAACTATATTTTACACTTATAACACTGCAGAAAAGACTCGGGATAAGTTTAACTCAAGATGCTGAAGAGTAATTAAATTTGCAGAAAATTACCTAGTAACAAGCTGTTAATCTGTGCCCCCATCCAAGAGTATTATCGGTTACCTATTTATCTTGTACATCACTGTGTGGTGACTTTAACAGCCCTTCAAGAGATACCTGTTTGACACTGGTTGCTTTGAGACACAACAGCCAGAACACTTTGAAATCAGAGTGACAGAAGCCACCAGAATGAATTAGCCCACAGCTGAGGCTTCAGAATCACTTTTGAATGAGAATCTATTCGTTTTGTACTAATCACTTGGTGTCATTCTATTACTGTAACATATAAGTACTTAGATGTGACTAACACATAACATTAAGATAACCCATCTAACAAGTTTTAACAGGGCGCATAATTAGATTGGAATTTTAGTGCCCAATAAAAGATGCTGAACTTTGTCATAACATAGGAGGGGAAATTAAAAATATCAGATAGAGAATTGATATTAGCAGTCTTGTAATAAAACATCACCTCCAAAACACCAATAAATAACGTGCTCCTTCCTTTCAGGGACTAATCTCATTTATATATGATCACTGCGAGATAATTCTCAGCTCTGACAAATGTGCTGTGGTTAATTTTGCTGCAGCAGTTTGTAATATTATATCCCCTCAGCTGCCTGGTAAACCCCAGAGGAGAGAGCTGCTAATGAGCAGACAACAGACTTTGCAGAACTAAATGATACCTCAGTTGTCCGGGTTCAGTATGGCACACTGCTTTAATCACCCAAGAAGGTAAGTTGAACAATATGACAGCAGAGCAGATGGTATGCCCACCTTCCTGCTAACTCCACTACAGGGTCAGTAACCTCCATCTGAGAGGTAACATCTGAAATGGCCACAGCTGTTTACTTGGTAAACACAGGAGCCACAGAACTATCACCCCATGAAAATTAAGGCAAGGTTTAACAACATTATATAAGAAGCCCAATAAAGAAGTTGAGCAAGTGGCTTTTAAGAACAAGAACAAGTATTTCGAAAGCCACAGAAGAACTGAAATCTTGGCTGGTTTTGTCCTATTTCAAGCAGCCAAATCACAATTCTATTTTTAAGCAAGAAACATGAAGACATCATCACAGTGCCATTTGGCAAAACTGATCTAGGGAAGAAAGAAAAGAGTATGAAACAAAAACTACAGTTTAAAAATGAAATTGATTTGGTGTCTTAATTTAAAAGGCTACTAAAATTAGTTAACTTAACTTAGAAGTTAAGTACACTGTACCAATTTGAAAAAAATACAAGTAAGCAGAGCAGCTGTTTGTAAACAACAGTTACAAACACACACCCCTTACCACAAAACATTTCCATGCAATATTTCAAATTGCTAGGTGGGTGAAACAGCCATAGTTAGTTTCAACGATTTTTTAATTTGCATTAGACATTTAAGCAGCAAGTTTTACCAGTTTTTCTTTCTGCCAGCTTTAAGCAATAGAATTGCCATTGTGTGCTGCATTACCTGCTACATTGCCTAAGAGCACAGCCTTGTATCACCTCTATGACATTGTGGGAGCAACGCTCAGAGACGCGGTAACAACCAACACAACAGGCTTAACCACACTTAGCCAAGATGCTTGCGAAAGGTTCTTCTCATACAAGAAGATATAAGAATGCCAAGAGACTTCTTAAATCAGGCCTTGAAGATTTACTTCACTAGCACTCGCTGCCAAGCAATCACTAAGGTTAAAAATAAAAGATGCATTTCACATCCAGAGAGAGAGATTTGCATTCAGCAACAGAGTTGAACTTCAGAGCTCTGCATAAACAGAAGTGGCTGTTTCTTGAAATTACAATGGAATCGCTCAATGAACTAAGATGTTTCCATGTTGTCCTTAACGCTGGATCCTTTCGGTGCACAACACGCGTGCCCTTACTGGGTATGCAAAGGTGAGCAAGCCTAAAGACAGGCCAAATGCATCATGACTGGTTTCTAGTCCTCATTAAAAATGTACTGTAAAAGCCAAAAATGCATGCCTGAATGCAGCATGGAGTTGCCAACAGAACAGAGCTAATAGCCAGAGCTATTTGTTCACAAGCGAAAAGCAGCCTGAGATTATGAACAGGAATGCCACAGACAGCCTTTAATTTCTATTTTAAAGTTTCTGTGAATCCACAGTTCAGAGAAGGGTTTGAATGACTAGGATGACCTTTTCCTAAGAAAATGGGACATCTAACCATGGTCAGTAGCATCTAGCCAGAAGACAATGGTTGAAACCTTGTGAATGAAGAGACGTGTTGCCCCATTCTTTCTCTAAGGTTAGGTAGCTCATGAAAACAAAAGCTGGAAGATGGAAAGCTATCGAACATTAAGGTCTTGGAAGACATTGTTTTGAATGGCACTGAGATTATAAATCTTATCTTTATGTCCTTTAGCTTTTTTGAGCATGCAACAAATAAATTTTCATTAAAGTTATCTTCCATTTAAAGAGGACATTGTCATATACAACTTAAAATCTACTTGATGATTGCATATATAATAAGCATAATATCAGCATCCAGATCAAGTGGTAAGTTCCTGCTGGGTTTAAAATCAGCTGAGAACATTATGTACAGAGTTTGGTTTATTGATGGTTTTTTTAATACACAAAACTTCTAAAGGCTAAGTCAGTTTTTAGAAGGACTTACCAGTTTAATACTATCATAGTTCTATACACAGCCTATAAACAAGAAATGTAGCACTCCTAATTGACTTAATCAACAATGTAGTGGCTGCTACCACCACACAACCGACAAAGCCCAAGAGGTCATCATTCCCTGCTGCTCACTCTACCCCAGTTCAGAAGTCAAGGCAAGGAGAGTCAGTGGCAGTTTCAAGCTGTAGACAGACACTCGTCATCTTTCCGAGAACAGAATCAGAAGGCAAAACGATTTCAGCAGTTCCCTGCAATTGTGCAATGTCAGAGGAGTCAACATCCACAATTACAGAGCGTATTTAGGAAGCTGCTTCACTCCCTAAGATGACAAGGAAAGAGTATTTACACACACTCAAGCACCACAAATTGATCCTACTGTTCCTTGTAAGACCTTCCTGGATATTGCCCAGGATAAGTAATAAGCCCTTCTAACCTTCCAGAATTCAAGTGGCACAAGGACTGGGTTTTCTATCTAAGTTAAACAATGCCAACAGGGTAGCAAAGCAAGCACATTAAGGGTAGTGTTTGTAGTTAAACATAACTCCCTTTGAAGAATAAAACACAGTCCTGGATGGTCAAACTACCCCTAAGCAAAGCAGTCTCTTCAGCATCCAGCTCTTCCCAGTATGTTCCTCTTATAAGCAGCACAAGAATGGTCCCTTCAAAGCTATTTCCTTCTGTCTGTAGCTGGTATTTAGAAGAAGAATGAAAACAGCATCCTCCACCACTTCTTTCTCATTGATCAACAGCCTTTCTAATAGAAACTTTCCTGTTCAGGGCAATGGCATCCACTATATGCTCTTTCCTTGCTCATCTTCTTCAAACTATCCCTTAAACTAGCATATGCTATGTATACACAGTGGACAAATCTTCATGAAATTAGCTCACTCTCCGTAACAGAGCTTAGTTATCAAAAGAACAAAAGGCCATCATGAAAATTTCAGGCCATATCATTTCTCAGAATAGTCATCAATATTCAATTAAGGGCTTGAGGGCCTGAAAAGTCTTGGAAGAGAGACTCTCTCAGTCTACCAACTTTGCCTTGCCTGTGCCCGTGTACCATCACAGCTACAACAGCATCACTAGCTGGCCAGCTACATACACACCAGTAAAACAGCAAAGCTAACTGAATGGTAAGCCACCTATGGGTTAAGTAACTTTACCAAATCCAAAGTTGTTCAGACTAGGCCTCCGTGACAAAACAGGCACAACTCCATCTCCAGAACTGCTAGCACAAGTACAAATGGCAAAGTACTTCCAGTAATCTTTGCCTATAAAATAGTGATCTCCTGGCTACATTGACTGAAAAAAGGTATACTAAACAAAATGCAGCTTTCTTGGCATATTGTATTTCTACTACTATGTTCTGGAAGGGAGGTTCTGTCACAAGTAGTTCCTCCAAAATGGAATAGTAACACCAACAGTATTCGGTAACATCACACAAAAGCTTAAATTATTCTCAGGTGACACTGGAATCATCCTATTGCCCATCTGCTTCCCTCAATTCCAGCACCAGCACTGGTGCTCAAGTGAGTTCACCAACAGTGAACTATTGGAAAAGTGCTGGGTTCCATGTTTTGGGATTTTT